GTAGTTGCAAATGGCAAGATTTCATTCTTTTTGATTGCCAAGTAACACTCCATTGTATATATATACCACATCTTCTTTATCCATTCATCCATCGATGGACATTTGGGCTCTTTCCATACTTTGGCTGTTGTTGATAGTGCTGCTATATACATGGGGGTGCATGTGTCCCTTTGAAACAGTACACACACCTGTATCCCTTGGATAAATACCTAGTAGTGCAATTGCTGGGTCATAGGGTAGTTCTATTTTAAGTCTTTTTGAGGAACCTCCATTCTGTTTTCCATAGTGGCTGCACCAGCTTGCATTCCCATAAGCCACTGAGGTTTTTAAATGGAGTTTTAATTGCAGCATAAATCAAGCTCATCCTGAATAATGTAAATATACACGTATTACCATCATTGATCTTCATGGCCGAGTACTGATATTGGCCCATTTTACAGTTGAGGAAATGGAGACAAAGGAATTAAGTTTACCTGTGTGGCAGAACTAGTGGCCCAGGCACTTTGAGCCCTTCATTCTTAAGCACTGTTGTTTGCTGCCATTGATTATGCTATACCAACTCAGTACCAACTATTGTGTATAGAATATGGGTTCTGCCCATGATAATGTCCTGCCAGAGCTTATGTTTACTTCTCTGTTCCATCCCTTCTTACAGATACTCCTGAAGTTCCAGGTCCAAGGGTCTCTTACCAGGATTTACTTTTCTCAGTGTTGCACTACAGAAACCTCCATTCCTTTTCTGTTGTCTGTTATCTACTTTTACTGCCTTCTGGGATTCCATCTTTTGTGTGTTTGAATTCTTGCTCTGCCACTCACTGGCTGTGTGAACCTCCCTGTTCCTCAGTTTCCACATCTGTACAATACATATCTCATTTCGTTGTTTTGAGGATTGAGTTCATTTACGTAAAGCCTTGGAACAATGCCTGGCACATGTAAGCATAAGTGTTGGATATTATAGTTTCAAAGGATCAGGTATCGCAGGGCCCAGATGAATGGAGATAAGACATTACTGATCTTAATCTTTCTGATATTAAGATATTAAAGGCTTTATGCCACATTTAATTTAATTTTTTCTTTTATTTAACAGGAATTGCTGAACAGCTCTACATGGCACTATGCTCTGGGGGGTGGGGTGGGGAATGACCTAGAGCTTACCCTCAAAGAATTTATAGTATAAAGGGGAGCCAAGATATACATAAATACCTGTACGCTGATACTTGTGCTACTGCAAGGTAGCCCATAAAAAGTATCCTTTGGGAGTTCAGAAAAGGGGGAAGTGAGGAATCAGAGAAGACTTTGAGTCGGAGCTTTTATTAGTGTTGGAAGGATACATGGGATTTGGAAGTGGAGACTGGAAGAAATCGCCAGGTGAAAGGAAGCATTAGATCAGAGGCCTGTAATAAACATGTTCATTCAATCAGCAGATATATAGTGAGCATTTACTATGTGCTAGGCATTGATATAAGCCCTGGGGATGCCGCAGTAAACAGAAGGAAGTTCTTGTTCTTGTGGAGCTTGTATTATAGTGAGTGTTTGAATATACAGAACCATAACGTATCAAGTGGTGGTAAGTACTAGGAAGAGGATTAACGAGACAGATTTCTATAACTAAGAAAAAACATGATTCATTTCTAATATTTTTCTTCGGGTATCTTTTGAGGAAACCCGAAGCTGAGCTAAATGGCTTTTTCATGTGCACCGGGCCATATCTGTGCCGTTTTCCATGCTCATAATTCTCTGTTCTTTGCTCTCAGCCTGTCTAGATAATTTCCTTTCTTTGAAACTTGAGCTTGGGACCCGGAATCTTCATGGGGCCATCCCCCTTGTAAGTGCCAGAAGCACCCTCTTTCCCTTCTGCACTTCTGGAGTCAGGTTTGGCCCATGTAACTAATTTGGCTTTTCATATTGAACTGCCTTTGTCTTTTCTCAAATTGTTCATTGTTTATCTCACAAGTATGTGATACCCATTCATTTGGTAAACAGTTATTGGACTTGCATTGTGTTTCAGCCATGTCTGGGCACTAGGAACTTGAAGATAAATGCACATGGTCTGTGCCCTTGAGGAATGCACAGTCTGTTAGAAGGGAAAGAAATGTAAACTGCTACTACGAACATCATGATAAATGTCAAATTAGACAATTGGATAAATGTCCAAAGTTTTGTTGGAAGCAAGAAGGGGAGGCAGCCATCTACTCAGGGAAGTTGTTTAAGAGTTTGGAAAGGAGGAAACTTTAAAATTGGTTCTTGAAAGTTGATTTGGATCACAGAGACTGGAATTGGTGTCTGTGAGTTTAGAAAGCCTTTTATGCATGGACAGTATCCTGTGAGGGGGCAGTGCGGACAGGGAAGTTCAGTGTAGCTGGAGGAGTAGTGGAGACCTGTGGATTTGTGGTGGGCATGAGGCCTGGAGAAGTAGGTTTGGAGACATAGAAAGGCTTTGCAAATGGGGCACCTGGGTGACTCAGTCGGTTGAGCGTCCAACTTCGGCTCAGGTCATGATCTCGCAGTTGACAAGTTCGAGCCCCGTGTCGGGCTCTGTGCTGATAGCTTGGAGCCTGGAGCCTCCTTTGGATTCTATGCCTCCCTCTCTCTCTGCTCCTCCCCCGCTCATGCTCTGTCTCTCTCTGTCTCAAAAATAAATATAACCATTAAAAAAAAAAAATGAATGAAAAAAAAGAAAGGCTTTGAAAATGATGGTAAGGAGTTGAGATTTGTGTGGACAGTGAGGAATCATCAGAGGTTTTATTGCCGGGGAGTAGATTATATTCTGTACTTGGGCAGTAGAGATCAAATGGTGCTCAAATTTTGCTGCATGTTACCTGGAGAGCTCTAGAAAATACCAATGCCTAGGCCACACACAATAAAACCCGATTGTCTAGATCCTCGAGGGACCCAGGTGTTGGATTTTTGATAACTTCCCAGGTGATTGCAGTGTGCCACCCAAGTTTGAGAACCTGTGGTTTGAAAGGCCTGATGGCAGTTTAATAAATGAGGAGGCTGGCTGGAAGAGAAGTTTTTGAGGCATTGGGAACGGGGACAAGGGAAGACTGAGCCAACCGTTATTTTTCTTCAGTTTCTCTGTTTTCAACAAAATGGTGGCCCCCAGGGGAGCAAAGTCCAGTCTTTGTACTTTGAACTTTTCAGAGATTTGTACATAGTAGATTCTTAATAAACATTTGCCTTGATTAGTTTTCTTTTGTTCAGGTACTCATAGTTGAGTATTCAGGGCATTTTATTTCTTTTGCTTCTTTCCTTTTTGTTATTAAATAGAAATTCCTTTAGGGATGTGAGTGAATGGAAATGAAACCTTTTGGTCTGTTCTACTTCCTCATAGTTCTGATTAAAGATTTAGGAAGTTAAAATTCAATGATTAAAACAATTAGTCTGCATATGGATTTGGTTTATCCATACTCTCTTTCCTTATTAGTATGAATAAGTAAGTTTGCCTTTAGGTAATCTCGACATCCAATGTTGGGCTTAAACTCACAACCCTGAGATCAAGAGTTGCCCCCTCTGCCAACTGAGCCAGCCAGGCACCCCAATATTCTTAAAGTATTGTTAAGGTTTATCTTCTACAACAACATGTGGAAAGTGCACCTTAACACTAGATTCTGTTAATCTGTGTAACTCAGGAACTTAGCCATGTGGTATAGAGTATATTTGAAATAATTTTTCTTTGCCAAATACACTTATTTCTGAGTGGGGATAATATTTTAAAAAATGCTGTGAATCATTTTTTAAAAATGGTTTCTTTGGGAGAGAGAGCAAATGAGCATGAGTGGGGAAGGGACAGAGAGAGAGGGAGAGAGAATCCCAAGCAGGCTCCACGCTGTCAGTGCAGAGCCTGACATGGGGCATGATGTCACGTGAGATCATGACCTGAGCTGAAATCAAGAGTCCTACACTCACCCGACTGAGCCACTCAGGCGCCCCCACTGTGAATCATTTTTGTGTGAACTCTTCATTCTCTGTTCTAATAGAGGGGAGTCAGAACATACAGGAATTAAAAACTTTTATATAGTCGATGTCGTTTATACCTCCCTCCTGACATTTGTGTCTTGAAAAACATCAAACCTATAGAAAGTTATGGGAATGTTACCATTAACACCCATCTCCCCTTCACCTAGATTCACCAATTACTGTTGCCAAATTTTCACTTGCTTGTTTGTGCGTGCTCTGTTTTTAGCCATATCCTTTGGGAGTTACTTGCAGACAGACATTATGACACTTCACTCTTAAATACTTTTGCATCTTTATTGTGAGAGAAAGGGTACATAATTATAATTACATCATTCAGGACACTTGACATATAACTAACATATAGTCTGTGTCTAAATCTTACCACTCACCTGTTCTCTAGCTTTTTTATTCCTGTTGTCCAATCCAGTTTAGGACTGTGCATTGTACTAAGTTGTCATGTGTCCTTATATTTCAGTATCGATTAGTGTGATCCAGTAGTTGCAGGATTCAGGAATGGAAGTGAAAACCTCTGTAAGGGCAGTGAGGCCGAGCTTCTCATCCTTCTCCCCAGCTGGCCTCCTTCATGCTCTCGCAGCCGGCTGGGAATTGGCCCTCGGAGACGGAAGGCAGAGTTCTGAAGTGGAACCCAGCAGCTAATGCAGACCTGACTGTGCACATCCTCCTGAGGCCAGGAGGGACTTTATCTTGAACAGAGGTAGTTTTCATTTTAGGATCAAAGCCATTCTGGTTGCCCAGGTGCTTAATTAAGAAAATGTAGTTTAAAAAAGAAAAAGAAAATGTGATAGTGTCAACGGGACTTTGAGAAAAGATTTTCATAGTTGACTGTAAATCACCTGAATGTTAAAAGTTAGTTGTCTTCTGCTCTTTCTTGAGGACCACTGATTATCATGACCTTGTCTTTCTATAATTCATGGGGTCTTCTTTTTCTTTCTTTTTTTTTTTTTAACTAGTAGGACCTCCCTGCCCCTGCCCCCCTTAAATATGCCAGTGGTTGTGTGTTTTTGTCTTTTCATTCCTTCTCAGGCAGACTTCTTTCCTGTTGCTTCAACTCTTTATAACCCTGGGATCTCTGTTTCCATCCTCACCATCCTCTGTGTTCCAGACCTTCCTTTCCAGCCACATCTCGGCAGCTGCAGCTGTGTGCTCCACATGCAAAGCTGAGCTCCGTGTCTGTTCGTGTAAGTTGGAGCGCTGGTTTGAATATTGGTTGGAGGATGAGAATGAGGTGGTATTTGATTAGGGAACTAGGAACATTAGGCTCCTGTCCCCTATCAGCCCTTGCCCTCATCTCCCCTTCCCCCAATACCTCAAGGGAAACAGGTGAGCCAAAGGCAAGGCTTTGCTATCACCACCATTTCCTGCTCTGTGTGGAGTCTTGGAAGTTAGGCTTCTTGGAATGAATTCTTTTAACCCAGTGTTTCTCAATCTTTGTTTTTATTATCACTACCCTAAGAAGCCCTTTTAGACAATTTTTGTTTAGCATTATTACCCTCCTACCCATGAAATTTTAATACCACGAATATATAGTGTATATGTGTATATACTGTGTGCGTCTGTATCACACATGAACAAATTAAGATATTTTAACCCTCAAGAACCACTTTTTGTCCCTTTGGAGTGATACTGCTCAATTGAGAATGCCTGTTTTAACCTAGACTGGAGGCAGTCTAATGCCTAGAAACAAAGCAGCTGAAGAGCCCACTTGCTAACTTTCCTGTCTGCAGAGAATTTACTTCAGGCTTGCATCTGACCGCTGTAACTAGTTCTGTAATCTTGCTGTAGCCACAACTCACAGTAATAACAACTGTATATTGTGCCCGATGTACACACACATATGTAATTCAAAGGTTTTAATACTCAGTATTTATTCTTACTACTCATGATGCACTGTATCTACTGTATTAAGAAAATAGTTTTATTAAGATAGTTTTCTACTTTGAAGTCCCCTGTTTTTATTTGGTAAAGTTTTTAATTTAAAAAGAAGTGCTGGGGGCACCTGGGTGGCAAAGTTGGTTAAGTGTGGACTCTTTTTTTTTTTTATTTTTTTTTTAACGTTTATTTATTTTTGA